CTTAAAAGCCATAATTGACCATTCAGGGATGGTCGTCATGGAGGAGGAGATGGGGAGTTGTAGAGGGAGATTGGCAACACATTTGTGTTTGAGGAGCTAAAGGAGGTGGGATAGAGAGAGAGGCCGAACCTTTTAATGGAGAAAGAGAGAGAGACCGAACCTTTTAGTGGAGAGAAAGTGAGAGAGAGAGGGCTACCAGCAGAGTAAGGGGGATGAGGCAAGGTATAGAGATTGTGTTTTGGCAGAGAGAGGGAGAGAGAGAGAGAGATATAGAGAGAGAGAGGGAGGTTGGGCATGGTGGATAGGTGGGCAGAGGAAGAGTGTATATTTTCATGAGAAGACTTAACTTGGATGAATTTTTTTTCTTGCAGAGGGAGAGGGTGGCAATGGTAAATTAGGAGCAGGAAAAAGGGTAAGAGACGGGTGAGCGTCATAATTTCTTTATTAGCGGACCCAAAGATTTATGGGTGAGGTTTGTACAAGGTGCCCTCCTTATACTATAGAAGTGAGGAACACCACTATTATTTGTTTGGAAATGTAGTTTCGATATCGAAAACCTTATGATGACTTAGAAATCTAGATTCATACCTAGTTATGAAATTTAAAATTTAAAAAATAATAAAAATTGGACAGATCTATAAAACACTTCAAAATCTTGAAAATAAACTGTCTAGAAAACTTGTTACACGATACATTGTTTTTATGCCTTAAAATTCTTTTTCGTCTTCGTATCCACACATCTTGAGGTAGAGATCAATTAGAGGGTTCTTCAACATCGAAACGTTCTTTTCTAAAGAATTTTCGATGTGCATCTTACGTCACTAGTACAAAAGTTGCAACCTTATATAAACTTTTGCCAAGGTTTATTTGTGACAAAACTATGGGGAACTGGATATATGTTTTTACCCTTTTCTTTTTATTTTTGTCGTAAAGTTGATCATAGAGCTATGATGATGGATCCTTTTTTGTGGGTCAACCTCTACCCCAGGATCTCGTGAGTTTGTATGAGGCACCCACTTTAAACAATAAAAAAAAAAGTGTACCTCCAAACCTTGTCAACAGATGTAGTTGTGATGTTGAAAACTCTTGCAATGGCCTAAAACTTGTTTCCACCCCCTAATTATGAAATTTAAATCGCCAAAAATGGTGAGGATCACATAAATCTAGAAATGCTTAAAAGTCTTGAAATGATTAATTAAATGTATTTTCAATACTGAGACAACCTTTTTCAATAGATTTTTTAGGTTTGCCATTATTGTATAGTATAACTTTGGCAACTCAGCCAATACTCATCTTTTCATGCATTGCCCTTTTGGCCTGCAAAATCTAGAAATATATCATAATTGTTTTTTTACATTGGAATTAGGTAATCCTAGATGCTATATACCACTTCTTCCAACAAAGTCTGTCCCCACCTTTATTGACTAAACAATAGCTATATGGAGGATTACCGTAGCAGCAACATGTTGGAACTTGTGTAAAAGAGAGGAATCAAGGGCATTTAAAGGAAAGACAATGGACCTCCATCTAGTCATTAATGCCGTGAGGTCCACTATATTCTTATGGCAACACAGGCACAAAAAAATTTAAAGGATGTACCTAGGGAATCTGTTTACAATAGTTTTAATGAGTTGCTCTTCGGCAAGGTAAAAGTTGGTAGTCTATGATGTAGAGAAAAAAATATAAAAAAATCAGAATTGTAATTTTATTACTTTTTAAATTTATAATTTTAGTAATATGTAGCATGAGTTTTTAAGAAAGAAAAATATTCGTGTGAGTTAATTTTATTTTCTAAGCTTATCTTCTATTAAAGTGACTTAAAACATTTAGTTAGATTTAGTGAGAGACTTAAAGGGTATTTAAATATGAGAAGTTAAGGGATTTAGATGTGGGGAAGATCAATTGAAGGAGAAATCAAGATTCCAATTGGTATTCCAGAGTTTGGAGTCTCAAATTTCCACTGCAAATCATTGTTTATTTATTGAAGAAAAAGTATAGAGGCAGGATTGCATCACCAATGTTTGAGAAGGCTTTTAAAAGATTTGAGTTTGATACGCTCGAAGTCGAGCTTCTCCCAACCCGAGGAGATAGATGTAAATAAAAATTAAGAAAAATTCAGAATTGTAATTTTATTTTTTTTTGAATTTATCATTTTAGGAATGGGTAATGTGAGTTTTTAAGAAACGTAAACATTAATGTGAGTTAGTTTTTTCTAAGCTTGTCTTATATTAAAGTGGCTTAAGATTTACTTAGATTTCGTGAGAGATTTAAGGGGTATTTAAAAATGAAAAAGATAAGAGATTTAGATATGGAGAAGATCAACAATGATAAAGGTTAAAAAAAATATGGTACATGACATTTAGATAGACATGATATTTTCGTTGAGAGAGAAAATAGGGAGAGAGATCTAGGTGGGACATGTGAGAGAGAGGGAGAGATTATATTTTTCATGTTTTTATGATTTGTTTTTCTTTCTTCAAAGTCTATTTAAAGGCAGATGTCCCTTCATTGTAAAGCAAAATTGAGTAAATTTAGTCTGAAAAGATCGCTTTTGAATTAGATTCCCTTACTGACCTTGAGAGAGGGTATATTTTATCAACTATTTTCCTTTTCTTATTATTCCGATCTATTTTCTCTCTACATCAGACCACATGATTGCAACCATTATTGATTGGTCAACCTTAGATGGGAACATAAGATTGAAGGGCAAGGGGGTGGCTATTAGGGGGGGTCTCAGGGGCATCACTAGTTATAGCATCTGCACTTATAATAGCCGAGTGCACTCTTGTGAATCATGGGTGGAGTTGTGGGTGTTAAAACTTGTAGTTAGCAAGTCTCCATTTAAAATATGATTTTTTCAAAAAAATCTCCGATTGTTTGAAATTCGTTAAGAATTTCGAGTTTTTTTAAAGATATTAAAAAAATCACTTTTTTTAATGGATCGATATAAATATGTATATTATTTTATTTCAAAAAACTTCTTCCTTATAAGTTTATTTCTTCACAAACTTAATAGTATTGAATTTTGGTTTAAAGATAAGTACATTAAATTAAGAATCTTGATTTAACAAAAAATTCCATAAAAAATTTCACCAATAAGTTCCCTTTAAAAAGTCTATGAAAAATACAAACAATATTCCTCAAAAACTAAGATATCAAAATAAATGCATATCTTATAATGATAGGTAGACTTAAAAGAAGAGTAACTCAATAAAAATATTTTTTTTCTTAAAACCTGGAACATCTTCATAAAAGAGCAAGAGAGAGATTCAATGATACTAAAGATGTAGGCAACTAGGAATTCAATGTAAGATTTGAATTGGCTTAAGCATTTTGTTTTTTTTTTTTATGACTAATGAAGTTTGATCAATTCTATATTTTTATTTTCATTTTTTATTTTATTGATGTATATAAAATAGCATTTTGAATGGACCATTATTTTACCTATTTGAATGTTTGTGTTTTATTTTAGTTAACTACAATCTTATACCCAGGGTCTTTTTTATTTTATATTTAGGAACAATAATCTTATACATTGGTTTACAGTTATTGTAATTTACTAATATTGTTCTTATTTCCTATCTTATTGTTGTTGTTATATCATTTTATGCCTCCAAAAAATCTATTATCTGTTTTATATTGTGACAGTAGAGTAAGCATTGTTGTTCGATTTATTAAGAGTTTCAAAAAAAAAAATCAGTATTACTCTAATAACACTAGGTAAAGCCATAAAATTATTGCTCAATGGTTTTAATGTGTCTATGCAATAACTGCAAAACATAAGCTTATATCGTGTCACTTTTTACATATATGACTTTTTTACTCCATTTTTTTTATCCAAGACTGCAATATTCACAATTCTATAATTTACCTTATTTTTTATCAATCTATATTTTTAACCCCATTTTTTCCTCCAACTTTTTAAAATAAAACCAATTGATTACTGATGTTTTGGTTTGCCGACATATTATTATTCCCCAAATGGTTAAAACAAAGCTTGCTTAAACTCTCTACAAAGCACAACAAATCGACTGTGGAGGGTAATTTGGCCAATATTTAATTGGTGTGTACACCATGATACCACTTCTGGCTATGGGTTTCCATCATGGACTCGATTATGTTTCACCTATCTAGGAGAGAGACAAAATTCATTCATGTCAACAGGGAAAAGAACTGTACGGCAGACAACTTAGCCAAAGAGAATGAATACCCTATACTACACCTTCCTTACTTGAATTTGCCTCATCTTTTTAGGTGTATTTCGGTTTTTTTTTTTTTCATTTGCGTTGTTTTTACTTTTACCTTTTTCGTATTCTCAATGAAAAGATTGTTAACATTTTAAAAAAAGAAAAGGAAAAATAAATGTTGACAAACAAATGCTTTTTATCTTTTATTAGTGGGATGTGGTTGGAGGGGAGAAGGCGACAAAATTTGAAGCCCCTCCCCTGCCTTTGCGTGCACAAATCGGAGGTATGTGATGCCGGTACCATTCGGAAGATATAGGAGATGCATGTCTTCCAAACAAGTGGTTGAGGTTAGGGGTGGCAATCGGGTGAGGTCGACCTGACCCGAACTGTATCCAGGTTCAATTTTGAGACCTGACGGGTGGCGTCTAGGTCCAACTGATTTGGATCCAACCTAGGTCGGGGTTGACGCGATCTAATATAAAATATATAAGAAATATGTTATACAACACATGAACGAATTTTTTTAATTCGAGACCCAGATCGGGTCAAGTCTAGGTACAAGTCACTAGGATTAGACTTGGGTCTTGGTACGGGCTAACTCGGACCCAATCCAACCTGTTGACACCCCTAGTTGTGATGTTTATAGTAATGTTATTTTTGCTTTTTCTTCTTCTTCTAAAGTGGAGTGGAGAAATTTCTTTTGAACATATTTTTATTTTTTATTGTTTATTCTTTTAATTTTTTTAACGCAAACGAAGTATTGAAATTTTGAGAAATAAAAAATGCAATGATAAATTGGATTGCAAGAAATACTTGGAGATATTGATCCGAGCTCTTTGAACCCACCGCCCTGTAAACCTGCAAGAAAGTGAAAATCAAAATTATGGATGCCTGTTGTATGGAAAACGTCTCCCACTGTGCCCCTTATTTCAAAGTTTGTTTCAAGCTTTAAATCATTTAAGCGATCTCAGGATATTAGAAAACCTCCCTTGGTGTTTTAACCATGAGCCTATAGTTTGATCGTGCGTGACCACAATAATCATCATTATCATAATAGCTTTTTTCAATAAACAAACCATAAACTTCCCAAAAATTGAAATCACGGCAAAAAAATTGTTTTCAATAAACAAACCATAAACTTCCCAAAAATTGAAATCACGGCAAAAAAATTGGGGAGGCCAACTAGAGTCGAGGCCAACTAGAGTCAAGGCCGACTTGCATCGCTTGACAGCCAAGTCCATTGGTCACAGTGTGCAAGAGTATCACCAAGTCAAATTCCAAAGGAGACTATGGCTAAAGTTTTGCCCAATTAATGTTAGGAATAACTATAGATAACCCTAACTCTCTCGAGGCATGCTCAGTCTCAATATTTTTTTGTCCCAGAGTGCATTTTTTAGACATCCAGACTCGTTTTCAAATCACATCACTAACTTCAATATCATTTATAAAGCTCGTAATAAGCACGGCCTAGGCCAGCCCATTCCTGGCCTCAGTCCAACATTATGCCCCTGAGAGAAGGCCTGGATGCAACTCTAGCACTACCAAGAGCCATGCTGGCTTGGGTAAAATTAAAAGAAAGTAAAGCAAAAAGAAGAAAAAATAAAGACACGGCTAGAATTGTCTTAAACTGGGCCTCTGGCCACATTTGTAGCCTAGATCCTAGTTTCTTAGGGTAGGGTTGGGCCACCCGGCCCATTGCATATAAGCCCCCAAGTAAGAAAGTAGCTCTTTAATGATGAATATACACTTCGCATATTTAAGATAGTTTATCTCTCTAATAATTTGAAATTTGAGATTTTAGAGAGATAAATTATCTCAAAAATTTTAGAGTGAAAAATTATCTCATAATTTTTAGAGATAAGAACTATCTCAAATATTAAATTTTTAGAAACATAAATTTTTTTATAGAGGGATAACTGTCTCAAAATTTTTATCGAGAGAAATTATATTTTATAGAGGGATAAACACATATGAAGATCTTGAAAATAGATGGTCTAGATAATGTGTTGCAAGATGCACTATTTTTTGTAGTAAATTTTTTTTTTTATATTCATACATCTCGATATCAAGATGCTCAATTAGAGGGTTTTTCAACATTAAAACAACATTTTCCAATGGAATTTTGAGGTGCATATGTAATTCTACATTTTAAGGTTGTAACCTTCTAAAAACTTTTTCCTATGATATATGAGTTTCTAATGATCCAATCGTATAAATCAGGTGTTAATTTAGTTATTTTCTTTGCTACTCTACTTAAAATGTATTTTAAAATAAGCTAGTGCTTTATATAGAGAATAAGAAAGACCAATGTGAAGAGAGAGACTAATGGCTATTGAGAGGCAACACTTTAAATTCTCTCTTTACATGTGTCTCTATATCTTTCTTTTCCTAAAACCTCTTTATGGAAATGGTTTTGGGAGACAGGGGTACCAAAAACGAGTTCTCTTGCTCTCCCTAAAACCTCTTTCTCTCCCTTATGATTCATTGTGAGCTGGGTATAGGGGACGTGCCCTCTCACCTCTATGAGAGCCCTCAAGCATCATAGGATCAATTCCAACACCGTGTTACATCTTACATCAGCTTTCTCTTTTTAAATTATTGCTAACAACTGTATTTGGGCCAATATGAATTAGATTGCATTTTTTTTTTCTCACACCAAGTCCGTTATTTCATACCCCAAAAGTGAGGCTGTCTCGTACACTCAATTTCAAAGTTGAAGAAACTCTTATCCAGTCTTTTGTGCATAACCAGATTAAAAAGTATTTCTCATATTCTAACTAAGGAGTTCACTTCATAAATCCAGTATTTTTTACCCAATCGATGTGGATATATTAGAGTTATTTGGATATATATTTTTTATTTATCTTCGTGGTAGGAAGTGAAATCAAGGGTTGATATGTTATCTCACCACTTAAAGCCCAAGTCCTGTTCCTGGTGATTTGGATGACTTAAAAATTCATTTTGTGAAATTGCCAACAAAATTAGCAACCTCCTAGGGGAATAGGGCACTGTTGCCCATTGATTCCAAAAGAGAAGCCACATCTTCTGTAATTTGGCCTGGAATCCAGCACTATAAAAACCAGCCGAACGCTTCAAATTCAAGAGCCAGAACCGGTCAGGATCCGGCCAAACGCTTCTCAAATTCAATTCAAGAGCCATTTTCTCTCTCTTGATCCCCCAAGAACCATTTTCTCTTGAAACAGCTCCTATTCTCCCAATTTCTCTCTAGAACAAAAATCGACTGTATTTCCCGAGATGCTTAAGGGAAGCCGTTAATGACATCAAGATTGAAAGAAGCGAGAAAGAGAGATAGATAGATCAGAAGCTTTCCAAGAGATCTTCACTCTAAACAGATTTGAAATCTTTGCTTACAAGTGTATGAACATAAATGTGGCTTATCCTCACTCAAGAGTCTCAGAACAGATAGGACAGGTAAGGAACTCTCCCCTTAATTTATTTTTCAAAAAATAAGAGACCACAGATATTCGCCATTGGCGTTCAAACTTTATTTGCTATTCATAATCGTAGCCAATGTCAATTTGGAAATGAAGCCCTTGCCAGGTTAGGGTTAAATTGATTGTTGCATAATTGAATTCTGGATCGGCCCAGAAAGTAATTGATGAAATGCAGAGAACAAAAACGAAACCGAAACTGAAAAGCAAGCACTGCAGGTACTACACCAACCTTTGTAGAAGCTTGGGTGGTCAAGACTGCTGTACAATCATCTCCTCTCCCTCACTCATCGCGCATGATACATGATCACCCTGTGCTCTTCAACAAAAGTGAAAATAGGAATTTATCGATTAAAAATACAATATGCTACGCTTATGGGTGGAAAATTACAAAATGCTTCATTTTCATTTGTATATACGTGAAACATTTTTGTATTTTATTTAAAATTATAAAATATTCGGATTGTATATAAGTGGAGCATTTTCGTATTTATCTAAATTTTATCGTCTATACATAAATCACTGCAAAAAGTAAATTACTCTGAAAAAAAAAAAAAAAACAAAAAGAGAGCAAAAATTTCAATTGCATACCGATATCATGCCCCCTCCAAAAGAAACCATGTAAACCCACACTACATCTGATTTGCATGAACCCACCTGTCCAAATAAAAATTTACTTTATTAATATTTTAATTTTAAAAATAACATTATACTAAAAAAATTATTATCATTAAAGCTTTTTTCCAACTATTTAGGACCATACAGATAATATACACCCAAAAAATTGATAATTATTTACCTTTGTGGGAGACACTAGTTTAAGTGGGTACTTAGCAAAGTAGCGCGTGAGAGTGGATCGCCCACCAACTTTCTCCACCACTACCAATCCACTCTCCATCTCTCTCTCTCTGCACAACTCCCTCGAAGAGAATAAACGAGACGACAGGTCTTCTATTACCTTTCGTTTATTTATATATATATATATATATATATATATATATATAGACATTTCTCAATACACTTGCAGGCCCAAGTGTTACTTTTATTTTGCAGCAAGTAGGCTTGCTCTATTCATTTATATAAGAAAAAGTTTATATAAGGTTGCAACTTTAAAATGTAGAATTATAGATTGATCATCTTGTAAAAAAGATGTATAAATATGAAGAAATAAAAAGATTTTGAGTTTCAGAAATAGTGCAGTTTGCAACACATTACATTATTTAAGCTGTCTATTTTCAAGATTTTTATTTTTAAATATTTTTGAAGTTTAAAATTTTATAATAAAATATAAAAATAGATTTTGAGATTTTCTTTAGACCAAATTTTCACGATAAGGATAAAATTTGAAGGTGCGCCTTAATTGGATTACAGCAACCTTGTAGAAGCCATACTCTATAATATTGAAAATTGTTGTGTGCTCGAACCTCTCCAACTAAATAATCCTATCCAATGGATAGGAAATTTGTTTTAAAAAAGTGTTTTAAAATTTTATTTTTTATATTCATAATCATCATTCATAGTGTGTAGATGATGGATATCAACAAATTTGGATGCAATATTTATATAAAAAATGGGCACACCAGAATACTGTGGTCCGGAAAAATGGGCACACGATAACACTATGTGTGGGGGGACTCATAAAAACCGGGTCCATAAAATATTATCGTCTCATTTTCTCTAAGTGGTGGTTCCTTGCACCTTCAGCCCTCCCGATGGCTCTGCTTCTCTCACCAAGTACTGTTAATGGCTGTCCCCGCTTTCACACAAGTCGTGCGTCTGAAATTGGGTCACTGAATTGCATATTTCCTATTCCTTTTCCTGGTAAGTATCAGAAGAAGAGGAGGAACAATGGGTTTATGCTAAGGTGAGTTTCTCTTGCTGGCGCCATATACATTTTCAGCCCTTTTGGCTTTTTGTTCTTATGTTTATGATTTCCAACTCTTGCTTTGATGGAATTAGAACGTGGACAATCTCAATGGGGTGAATTTCAGCCTGTTTCACAATGGGCTAAATTCCACTGGATTCTGTCTGTTATGAACATGGATCAATGTTAATAAATAAGGTAGCATTTCCTTAGTGGTTGGGTTAATTACATGGGAACTTGCATAATATCAGTTGGGCATTTGTTCCTGTTCCACAATGGATGGAACATAACACGCATTAGTGTTACAAACCAGGTACTATCTCCTTTCTACTGTTTCGGTGGGTGGCTGGTCTCAATTCGTGATACTTATCTTATATTTTCAATGGCATAAACGAAATTCTCCTGTGTCCCAAAATAAGATGGCTTACTATTTTAATAAAAAAAAAAGAAAGAAAGGTTAGTATGTAATTCCTTTGACTATTAGTTGATGCAATCCAACAATTAGTGCTGCATGGGTATTAGTACAGGGGGTAGTTGTTTGCATAATTAGCAGATTCATGGATTTGTTTTGACAGTACCGGAGGTTGTGTAATGGTTTCCCGATAATTTTCTTTCTATTTTCGCACAAATAATTATTTTTGTTTTAGTGTTCTGTTTCATGCATGCATCCTGAGACATGAAAAAATTGTACCAGTTTTGGACATATACATTAGTCTTAATTATTTGGAATTCTTATTCCCACATGGATGCATGTAGTCTTTTCTTTTGTGTCAGTTAACTGATGCATATAATCAACTCTTCACCGCTATTTAGTTGTTTTTTTTTTTTTTCTTTTGAATCCCTCAACTCTTTAGTCATTTACTGTTAATCATTTTTTTTCCTTTGTACAGAACATTCTTAAATCTTCTACAGAATTGTTCATTGTTCTGTAAAATTAGATTTGGTTTATGAAAAGGTCTTGAATAATCTTTTTGATGGTCAGCATATCGATATTCACTGAATTGCTTTATTACTATTCCTGCCTTTGGCCATTAGGCCCTTGGAAATTGCGTTCAAATCTTAAGGCCCTTGAATTGTTTACCACTGACTCCAATAGACCAGATCTCTAGTACCTCCCCTCTCTTGCAGAGGCCAAACGCTTCCCACTGTGCCAAACACATGCAATACTACAAATTTCGATCTCTTCTAGCGCAGCAACTTTCTATACTAATGTTTGTGTACTGTAGATCTTGTCAAGGAAGGAAATGAAAACTCAAATAAAAAGGATCAAACTTTGAACGATAACATTCTATGTACACTTTCACACGGCGGAATTCTTCATGTGTAGATCAAGTTGCAACTTGGATTCCATGGAATGACTAAACCATGACCTTGAGCAACATTTCTCGTTAGAGGAAAAGAAACCGAGGATTACAGTGTATTTTTGTTATTACTTAAATGAATTGCATTACTTACCAGAAAAAGGTAAGGTACTAACAATTATATAGATCCATTAGGTTGGTAATATGTTCATTGTTTCAACTGATTGCACCATCTCTGTATCTATTTATATTTATTTTAATTTTAGTGACATGTGCTATGGAATTTAATGTGGGAAATCTGCATCAACTTCTTCCAATAGAATGATAACCAATTTTCCCTTTCTTACATGCTGTTAAAGTTGGAATGGAGCTCATTTTCGTTTAATTTTTGATGAACAACTTGTTCAAGTTCCTCAGTTACTTAATGTGCTCAGTTTTTGTCTTGTTATTTTGAAAAAATTTCAATTGCGTTTGGAACATAAAAAAGTTAGTATTCTGGAACTTCATGTGACCGTCACCAATTTATAAATTTAAATTCCCAATATGTGACAATTTTATGAATGTTTGATTTGGTTGTCTTTCATTGTTCCTTGCAAATATATCAAAACCAGTACTTCTATGCTTGAAATTGCTATTATTTCCTCTATTAAGTTCTGATAAAAGCGTTGTTTTCTGATCACTAAATTTCTTGGAAAAGAGCTTATTTGAGATCAATTTTTGCGAAAGTAATGTTGTTTGCCAACCATATTTTTCAGATGCCAGTCTACCAGCAAAAATGAAACAAAGTTTGAAAAAAATCTATTGGACAATGCAAGTAATCTTCTGACTAATTTGTTGAGCGGGGGTCGTATTGGTAGAATGCCTGTGGCAGAAGGCGCTGTTTCTGATCTGTTTGGCCGCCCATTGTTCTTTTCTCTGTATGATTGGTTCCTAGAGGTGTGTTACAGCTATTCCTTATTTCATCTAGAAAGTAGTCACTGAAGTTTGTTTGATGAATTTGGATAAAAGTTCTATAGGTTTTTGGAGCATACTGTCAAAGCTTCGTAACTAGGTACTCTGCAACTCAACACCATCTTCAGAGTTTTCAAAGTGCTTTTTTCACATTTTGCTCAGAGCTTGAAAAGCAAAGAAATTGCACTAGTTGATAAGTCAGTATTTTTTGTTAGAATCATTTTGTATTAGTATATGAATCCAAAGTGTTAAAACCCAGTGGGTGAGCATTGAAATGACCTACATTAGCTTGGTCTGCATGGTCTGTGGGTCTTGTCTACAAGCTCAAAATGCCTGAAGTTCCTCCCAAGTGTTTTATTGAAATTGCTTATGTGATCACTCCCACAGTTGTCAATGGGCATGGAACACTGAAAATTCCATGAGATATGTCTGTGCGACTTGGGTACGTGTCTCTCGTTCTAATTCTATCACTCTACCTATGCGTATGTGGACATACATCTATTCACATTTGTAGTACTCCTTTCTTTTTTGGCTGTCATATTTATCTCTATTCTATTAATAAACTTTTAAATAAATTTTGTAATTTATATTCATATATGTTGCTTAAAATTATATAGATCTTACTATGTAAAATAACTATAATAAATACTTAACTTCCCAATATATGGATTAGTTTTTTATCAGATAAGGGTTAGCAGGTTTACTCAAAGTTGCGGTAAGTGCATAACCAAATCATTACCTGAAGAGGAAAAGGAAGAAAAAGGTAATATAAAAGGATTGGGAAAGTGACACAAGAAGTCGAAGGAACACCTTTAAATAATCAATTACCACATGGGAGAATGGGACAGTTACCCTCTTCTCCTGTCCTGAATATCTTTTCCATGATATTAGCGAGGGGGCACCTATAAAGTCATCGTTGACACCTAGAAAGTCACCTTTAACAATCAAGGGATGAAAGAAGTAGCTATGTGGAATTCAAGAAAGTAATAACAAAAAATTTTCTCTTTTCTTTTATTAATGTGTCTGAATTACATTTACAAGCTTTACAAAACCACTGCTGTAAAGAAGAAATAAAACCCTACATTCAATGTAGGATCTTTCCTTTTATTATCAAATAGAGTAGACACAATCCAGGATTGAACAAGAAGCTTCGACTATCAATTTTAGTACAAACAATTCTCCTGGAAATTCAAATAAAGATGTGAAGAATGACTGAGAGTAAAACCAATGGCTTGGAAGACTTGATTTTGCATAGGGTTACCCAGTTAGGATTTAATACACCCCACATCTTATTTCCTTACTGATGGCATTGTTTGATCTCGTCAGCCTTGATGAATTTTCTGAATTGGGAAGCTTTCTTAGGCAATACCTCACAGATCCATGGTTTTCTATAGCAAAAATATGATTAGGGTTTCTAGACCCCTTTTGAACTCTTGGGACATGCCACTATGTGGCACCTCCCCTAATCTAGGCTAGGGCTAGGCATGCCCCCTTTCTCTGTCAATAGGGTGGTGTATGCCACCCCTAGATCGTTATAGGGTGTGGCGTGCCACCTAGAGAGAGAAGAGAGATAGTTGGCATGGAGGAAATGGAAGGATGAGAGAAAGAGAGAGGCTAGGAATATGTGGTGAAGAGAATGAGTGGGGTCCCCTCCATATGTAGGCCTCAAGGGCCCTAGGCGTGTCTATCCAAATTGTGACTCATGATGACAAATAGGATTTTAGAAAATATGTGTGGTGATAGAGTATTAAATTTGAGCCATTCATTCCATGAATCAGCCATCATAATTTAGGGCGGAATTTGTATACCTTATCTCCTAATTTTTTGACCTATATCCACTTCTAGTTATACTAGGAAAAGACCATTCTAAAGCAATCCTCTAGAACTTCCGTTATCTCTCACAAAATTGCAAGAAGTCATAAACAAAAGATTTGGTCAAAGATACAAAAGATATTTTCAAAAACTAACTCCCATAAAATAAGGACATAATATCCTTCAAAAAGATTTCCTAACCAACCAAAACACCTTTTATTTTCTAAAACAATAATAAAAGAAGAGAGGGGAGGTGGAGGGCATGCTATCTCCTTCTGTGAGGTGTGGGCCCCATGGGCTCTATGCCCTAGCCATGTGAGGCACATGTGGGGCTGGATCCAATAGCCCCACACGTGTACCAATTGGCCCCTCCACAATGCATAAATGTCTAAAATGCCTAGTATGGGTTTTTACTGCTGAAAATGATTTTAAAAATTTTGAAAAATTTCTAAAATTCACATAAAGGTATGTAACATTGAAAACAAAATATCTAGAGGTGGACTGGTACCAATGGTTCAAGAAAAGTGGCCTTCAAGGCACTCCACCCGACCTACTAATTATGATCCTTGACCATCTTCGCCATCTTCTCAAATCAACCTAATGAAACCCATGACTCACAATCTCTTGCAAGGGCTCATCATTTGCTCGTCAAAGCTTGCTAATTAAATAGTGGAACATCCAGAATGCAGATTACAAGTTCCCCCTAGTAAGAGCAAGTTACATGCACATACCACTATAATGCGAAAGGGGACTCTCTTTATGCATATGTATACATACTCTTTTTTAGGGTTACTTCCCAGTAATATGGCTGTCATGCGAAAGTTTGTTGAGGGTTTAGTGCTCCCTCTCACCTGCCTACATCTGCACACGGGAGCTACTAAGGTCTCTTGGCTTACAAACCATCTTTTGGATCTCTCCGACTTCAACAAGGGATGACTCTTTTAAAACTCTCTTCAGTAGTGCCATATGCCGAGGGGTAAGTGTTTTGGTCAAGATCAGGGCTATAGGCCGCCGAACCCTAGATTAGTCAACCAACTTACGCATTCCCTCTAGAGTCTATAATCCACTGTAATTCTTATTTATTTGCTCTCATGGCCTTTAAAGGCCACAAAACCTCAACATGAGACACTAAGTGAGAGTAACACCACAAAACCTTATCATACTTCTCAATATGGCCCCTAATTGTGAGTGTTGGCGGGCCTTAGAAAGCTGTCATTTTCACAGCCCTTTCCCTTGTCATTTGCTTCATCCCTCCCTTTGAAACCCCATATATTAGTTGGTTATTCTATCTTTCATTCCTCGACTCCCGAAAATCAAACTGATGAATTCAACACAACTCATTTATTGAAAGAACCAATGCTCAAAAAGGTTGGGGCCTATTTGATATTTGAGTGCCCTAAGAGGGGGGGGGCATATCTTGTGCATGCGTATGTGTGCAACTGTACATGTGCGAGGCTTCGCATGAAATACTTAACGGCTGTCTTCTTTTTTCTTATTTTATATGTAAGGTAAGAGAAATAGAGTTATAGATTCGTGGTTGTGGGAGAGAGATCTTGAATGCTTGGAGGACGTTCTTCTTCTGACGTGCTGAGAGAGAGAGAGAGAGAGAGAGAGAGAGAGAGAGAGAGAGAGAGAGAGAGAGAGAGAGAGAGAGAGTA